TTTTTTTCTCTTCTTTTTTTTCCTTCTTTTTTTTCAAATCAACCTGCCAGGAAACTGTCTGTGCTGCCGAGGAGAAAGTCTGATGTCGTCAAAGTCAGGGCTCACCAGAACGACTGCTGTGTTGAAAAAAAAAAAAAAAAAAAAAAAAAGCCGGATGTGTACCAGGGGGCCGGGGGCGGAGGGTGAGGGACAGGGGCTTGATGCAAGAATCAGGAAGACAGCGCTACCTTCTTCCCCCGAATACAACGTGCGGTGATTATAGTAGCTGTGTGTATTTAGACTGAAATATACCCCAAATTCAGCTATAATGCCCATATGTCGTATTCGGGGGAAGACAGCGACGAGTGAAAGCACGATGTTGAGGATGCCCAAAACACTACCAGAGGAACTACTAGGTTAAAAAAAAAAAAAAAAAAAAGTCTTACCCAAAATGGCAGACGTACACAGGCAAAGGTTTTAAACCACCAGTACTTGGCCCAACTATCGGCAGCGGCGCTTTCCCGTTAACGCGCCGCGCCTTTAGGGCTTCGGGGTACCGGACCACAATGGCTGGAAGTGCCAGCCGAAAAATTTACGGAACGGTGCCCCGGCGGTTCGGCGAAAATTGGCGCGCAGGGGCATTCCAGCCTCGGCATCGATAGCTGGGCCAAGCACTGGTGGTTTAAACCACCAGTACTTGGCCCAGCATAGCATATATATGGCTGGCCCTGTATACCCACTGCGACCTCCAGGGGTCGGGGCCGTTCTAGTAGCCGATTATTATATTCGTCAAAGGCAGCCCCACTTCCCGAAGGTCGCGGCGAATGTGCGCCCGAGGTTGACGCACGAGCTGGGCCTACCGTCTTCACCTGAATAGAACACTCGGTCATTGTCACTGTATCTCGACTGAAAGTTGCACCAAATACAGCTATAATGATCAGGTGTTCTATTCGGGTGAACATGGGCAGTACAGGTGGGTTAAGGGGCGGCGGCGTAACGCAACCGCCAGGACGGCTGCCCAACTGGAGAGGAAGCGAAGTCGTCCACCATTCCGGCGTGAAGGCGGCCGGCTGCCCAACTGGAGAGGAAGCGAAGCCGTCCACCATTCCAGCGTGAAGGCGGCCGGATGACGAGGATGGACATAAGGCTTACGGCCGAGGTTGACGCACGAGCTGGGCTGAGTACAGGTGGTTTAAAACGTTTTTTTTTATTTTTTTTATTTTTTTTCATTTGGACCATTTCTCGATTTATGCGTGTCATCCTTGCGCAGGGGGCCATGCTAATCACCCTTCTCTGTATCGTTCCAATTTTAACAGATGTCCCGAAGGACGGGTGATTTAAAACTTTAAAACTTTAAAACTTTAAACCGCCAGTACACCCGGGGCTGCAGGCCCGTTACGGCGCACCAAGCTTTTTCCAAACCACCAGCGGCTCACTTCTTTTTTTTCTTGGCGTTCACCGCCCGCCATTGTGGTTCGGTGGGCCGAGCCTTCGATTTTTTAAATTGTTTTTTGAGACGTCCAGATCGTAGTAGAAGCTGGATGCTACGCCTCGGGGGGTGGCTGTCGTTGTACTCAGCCAGTGGGGAGATCAGATAGCTTGTGACAAGGACAATCTGCTTCGGGGGGCATCGTTCCTGAGCTCGTTTTTTTTTTTCGTTATCTTAATAAAATAAAATAATAATCAGATCGCAAGTCCAGTCCTACAGCGCTGCGACCCAGACCTGTCTCTAGACCCCAAATAGTCCCCCGAACCAACCCGAGCCCCTGGTGCAAGTCAAGTCCTACAGCGCTGCGACCCAGACCTGTCTCTAGACCTAGACGTACACGAACCCGCGCCTTCCGAGGGTCTCAGATGAGTGCGGGCCCAACGGACCCCCCTGTCATACCGGTACTTTGGGGCACGGTAGGTATAAGCGTTCTTTGTACGGGTCCCATGGGTAGACCCCAAATAGTCCCCCGAACCTACCCGAGCCCCCCCCAGTGTATGGATCTGGTCGTGCACAGCGCACGTCCTAGATATCACAGGCAGTGTCTAATGCCCCCCGCACCCCCCAGCCAAGATCTAGCCTGTGACACCCCATGAGCGACCCAGGTATGCCCATCCACTCACTGTCTTCACCCGAATATGACGCCCGGTCATTATAGCTGTATTTGGGCCAACTTTTGGTCCAGATACAGCGATACTGACCGGGCGTTCCATTCGGGTGAAGACGGTAGCAAAGCTGTTATCTGTTTTTCTGGTCGTTTCTAATTACGACCTTGAGGTTCTGGCCTATCACCTCTAGATGTACTGCCACCATCCACGCCTCTACCTTAAACCGCCAGTACATACAGCTATCTATCGGCCGCAGGTGGCCCCTTTTCAGAGACCGCCTGCCGACTGCCAGTACATCCAGCTATCGGCTGCAGCTGGCCCCTTTTCGGAGGCCGCCTGCCGCCGCCGATTCAATTTATCTACGGCGCCGGGCCTCCGAAATGCTCGTGCGCGGCGAGTTTTCTTCTCAGCAAGGCTAGGGCCGTGTACTGGCGGTTTAAACGTCCCCCACTACACACCTCTCCAGGTGCTTTGTACTTGGACTGTCGTCGTTCTGAATCTGGACTTCACCGCTCTCCACGTGCTTTGTACTCGCACTGTCCTTGTTGTGAATCTGGAGGTACCCAGTTGGAAATCACAGAATTTAGACAAGAGAAAGAATTTAGACGAGAGAAATGTACACAGGGTAAACAAACAAAAAAAAAGGGGCCCAGACCCCCATAAGTTGGTTCTGTGAGAGGAATATGATCCTCTACAATAATGGTTAGGTAGAAGTCAAGACTAGCCTGTTAGGCCCTATGCGGTCTCAAGCCAATTTAAAAGAAGATTCCGACACTAGGAACAGGAAGCTGGAGGTTATTAGACATAACCCAGGCAAGGACTCCCTATTTGTAATATCAGATACTATTGAATCTTCGGTGGCGTTCTCCGTATGGGAACTACATACGGGGATCCCTTAGGATACGTATGAGATTCGTACAGCAAGTTAGCTGGGCTAGGGTAGCATTCATTCCTGGCGCCTTTGGGTGAAGAGGCCTACCATCTTGTTGTATTGAAAGTCTACTCTTTTGGTTGCATGGGACGCTGGACCCGGTTTCCAGCTGGTGCAGCTCCCCATCAATAGAATGGAGCCATCGGAACCTCGCCGGCTTCTACCTTTGGGGCTCATACCATCCAAGAGGTACAGGTCCTGGCCCCTGAACGATGATTGAAACAAAAAAAAAGAAAAAAAAAAAGGAAAAAAAAAAGTACACAGGGTGTGGATCCAAACGGTAGTAAACCACTAGTACCTCCTCAGGGGGTCTTGGGGCCCCTGTACGTGAATGAATACAGACCCGCACGACGCACAGATTCATCCACCACGTTAACGCCTAAAAACGTGGTAGGTACTGGTGGCTTAATATTTGGAACGTGTTTGTTTTTTTTTTTTTTTTTTTTTTTTTTTTTTTTTTTTTTTTTTTTTAACGTTGGGTCTCTCATGGCATTAATTTAATTTCCTGCATTAATTTAATTTCCTGTCACTTATGTGATTATTTCCTGGCAACGGTTTTTTTAACGTTGGGTCTCTTATGTGATTATTGCCCCTCTCCTCCTCTTCCCCTTCTTCTTTCTATTATTATTAATAACATTATTCATTTATGAATTTATTATTGCTATCATTCTTATTCTTACTCATATTATTGTTTTCTATTCTATTATGATGATGATGATGATGATGATGATGAAAACTACTGACGCTTTTCCTGCGCTGCTGCTTCCATGACCTGCGAAAATTGCAGGCCATGTTCATGTGTTCATGCCGACAGGCAGTTTATGAATCGGGTTAGGTGTTGCGCTTGGCCGAGCTCTTCGTTAAGAAGGAAAAAGCTGAAACCAAACGGAAAGAAAGCAAGGCATGCAAGGACTCGATGCGAGGACAAAATTTAAACAAATGTGTTATCGGCATGATGTTCATTCGTAGAGGCTGCAAGTACTGAGGGGCAGGTAATAGTGCTCAGGGTTTCACTACGGTTATAGCTATATGCTCACTGTGGTGGGAAATGCCTGAAGATTAGGGGAGGAGAGAGATGTCGACAGGGGTTGGTTGATGACAAGTGTATTTGTGGTACTTCAAAGGACGATGCGGAAGAACAGCAATGCCGCTCACTGGATGGCTACGGTTGTAGCTACGGTCATAGCTATGCCTACGGAGACGGGGAATGCCTGAAGTTTGGGGGAGACGACAACAGGCGTCAGTTGATGACAAGTGTTTTGCAGTACTTCGCAGGCAAGGAGGAAGAGGAGGTGGAGGAGGAAGAACAGCCGTGCTGCGTAGGCAATGACTACGACTACCGCTATGGTGAGAGCCATGGTTAAAGCTATGGCCATGATGTTGGGAGAGGCCTGAGTTTTGTGCAAGATCGTGACAGGTTGGTTTCTCAGAAGACGCAGTGCTTCGCAATGAAGTACGTCGACCACAAACCGCCAACCGCTTACAACACATCGCAACAAAGTTTTTGACCTATCGGCCTTGATGAAACACATAACTCCATACTTTCGAATAATCTCCTGGCCGCAAGAGATCAACGGCTGAGAAAGAAAGAAGATCGAAGTTGCCGTGCTTTGCAGCGAAGAACGAGGGCAACAAACCGCAAACGGCTTATGACATCACAACGAAGTGCTTGGTACCTATCGGGCTTGACGAAATAGGATCACTCTGGTCCCTTGCCAACGATCTCCGACGGCGAGATCGACGGCTGAGAAAGAACGAGGATCGGATCGAGTACCGTACGGACAAAATGGCGATTCTCTTGCTGTTGCTCTGGGGTCTGCACTTGTGCCACAATGTTGACCAGGTGCTTGGGTCGCCGATGCGGACGGACCGCTGTGGCTCCCTTGGGTCAGAGTCTCTCACTTGTGGGACCCACACACCTGCAGATGCTGCACGTCAGTCGCGATCACAAGATGTACGACTAATTGCCAACCAGAGAGCAGCGGCTTTCACTGGAAAAGGATATTCTTTGTTGAAGAAGAAGAAGAAGACTAAGCGTAATGAAGGGGGGTCCAGCGCACCCCCTGGTAACGAGGGGTTGTCAAAGGTTTCCGCAAATGAAAGGGAATTAAGGGTATCTTGGAGTGAAGAGGTGTCCAGGGTGACCCCTAATGAAGGGAAGGTAAGGGTGACACCCGAGGACACAGGGGGGGAGCTTAGGTTGTCGAGCTCGATTACCTACTCAAAGAACGGAAATCAAGGGGGGGAACGAAGTGGCCACTCATTGCAGCAATCCGCAGAAGATCGATTTGTAGTTGCCAAGGTGGAGGAGGAGGCGGTGGCGAGAGGAGGAGAGAAGAGAGACGAGGGAGGACAAGGCGAGATGGACGGAACTTACACACGTCAGCGTAGATCTCGACCATTTCGTTCGCGATCAGTGGCCAAAAAACAAACTTTGCGCCTAGTGCAGAAGTCGCAGGGGTCGACACTTCATCCGGCCATCGTTGAACGGACTAGAATTTTGGTAGATGAGGACGATTCACATCCACTAGCCTTTTCTCCCTCGAGGTTGGAGATCACACTTGAGCCCCCAGTTGTCAACAACTTAGTGGCTGACACCCCAGTTTTCTCACCAGAGAAGGAGGGCTTGGCACCATCTACATCGCCTGAGACACCAAATGTCGTTGCCCTAGAGTCTTCCCCTCAAGAAGAGAGCCATAGTACCCCTTCCCCTGCGGAAGACAGCCTTAGTGCCGCCGCACTTCCACCAATGGCGTCCCCGTCACCAGGCCCTTCCCGCTCGGGATTGGAGATGACGCTTGAGGAGCCCCCAGTTATCGACGACTCGTTTGACGGCTCACAAGAAGTTACCTTAGCAACATCTCCACCCCCCATAACACCCTCAGAGTTTTCAGAACCAGAAGAAAGCCCTAGTTCCACGCCACCACCATCAGCAACCCCATCACAATCCCCATCATCATCACCGCCACCAGACCCTTCTCCCTCGGGATCAGACATCACACTTGAGGCCCAAGTTGTCGACGACTTATTTGACGAGTCCCAAGTTCTCAAGCCAGAGGAGGTGGCCTTGGCACCATCTCCACCCCCTAAAACACTGGGGGTTATGCCAGTTATCGACGACTTATTTGACGAGTCCCAAGTTCTCAAGCCAGAGGAGGTGGCCTTGGCACCATCTCCACCCCCTAAAACA